ATTACAAATCACTCGGCTCCCGACATTTATTTCTGTCCTATTCACCTGTAGACGTCCAGAATGTCCACGCAAAGAAAAATTATGTAACTGTGCAAATTTTCTCTCTCACTCTCTCATTTCAACATTTCTGAGGAAGAAGCTGTGAGTGGAACTTACTCCTTACTAGTGGAATATATAGGAAATGAGGAAAAATCAATTCAGTATACGTTCCATGGCGGGTCCTAGATGTGACGGTCTGGAATGTTGGAAGCAAACAATGTAACGATAGTTTAGCGAGAGGGAAGCAACGTTTTATCTGTGGGGAAAAGAGCTTTATGGGGTTGATTAGTGATTAACAATTCTAATCTTGCAGACCATTACGATTGCAGTGTGTTTGATCCTCGCTGGGTGTCAACACTTGTAGTCCAACTAAAGGCACGGTGGAGTAATGGATAGCGGCTCGGATTGGGGGATCAAAGAGCCGGGTTCGAATTCTACTCGAATCCATTACATTCACTTATGTGCTAATACCCTTGGGAAAGATATGAATCATCTTCTCCTCCCCACCTCAACAGCCATGGGTAAATAGAGGGACAGACCGAGTTCTATAGCATTGGATGGCAACTGGTTTACCACAGAAAGAAATGGCAACAAACTAGGGAAAAAATCTGCCTCGTCAGTCATGTATCGAAAGATACATGATCGCCTATGCGTGTATCACATAACTGACTGACTAACACCTGCACCACAATACTTCATAAGTGAGTTTGATTCTGACTGAGTTTTGCAAATGTGGGTAATCATTGTTAGAGATTTTGTGGTTATCTACTAAACTTAGAGAAGTCTAGCACAAGGCAAAATAGTTCGAATAAGATTTTTATATCAGTCAAAATTGTGGATAAACTATACAAAGTTCACGTTTGTTTTTGTTTTGTTTTTTTTTGTTCAAGTACCACTACCCTGCTATTTAACTATTAACTGCAGTGGAGAGAAAAAAAAAACCGAAAAAAACAAACTGATTCATGTCTTCCTTAAGAGCATCAGTCTGAAAGTTAATGCAACCCGGCTCATCAATTCCACTTACAGCCCCAATACCCGTTACACTATCCATACATCCAACCAGATTATATTTTTTTTTCTCTTTTAAATTAAGCACAAATACGAAAAGAAATAATCTTTTCGTTATTCAAAGACGCAACCAATGGATTATAGAAAACATTAGCTCTAAACAAATGCATTCTCTTATCTTTTCTCCATTTTCCATACTATCCATACCCAGTAGCTTATATATCCGTGATTCTCAACCTTTTCTAACTTGTGGACACATGTATGACAATAAACTACATTTGTGTCCTGGGTAAGACGATAAACTGCATCCGCGTCCTGGGTAAAACGATAAACTACATTCGCGTCCAGGGTAAAACGATAAACTACATCCGCGTCCTGGGTAAGACGATAAACTACATCCGCATCCTGGGTAAGACGATAAACTGCATCCAACAGCAAAGCTTCAGATCAGAAGGTTTTGAGGAGCGTGGAACCACCTCTTAATTGCTGGTCTTCCCAGGTCCGGGGTGGTAGCACCTGTTAGGGGTCCCAGCTAGAATTGTAAAATTGTCAAAACACGATGAAAGTGTAAAAAATAGTTTTAATACAAGAAATACTTCCGTCCTGGGTAAGACGATAAACTACATCCAACAACAAGACTTCTGATCAGGAGGTTTTGAGGAGTGTGGAACGACCTCTTAATTGCTGGTGTTCCCAGGTCCGGGGAGGTAGCACCTGTTAGTGTCCCAGCTATGGGCAAATAGTTAACCCCCAAACTGGGGTCAAAACAGTATGAAAGTGTAAAAATAGATTTTCATACCAGAAATGCATTTTTTGAAGGAAAAATTATTACTAGCAATATATTTTTGGAAAAAATATTACCAGCAATAAAAATATTGTCTGCATTAAATAACCCTTTGAGGTTGATATGCCGTAAACAAAACAAATAAAACCAACTTGTGGCCATTTTTGGCATCAAAAAAAAAAAAAAAAATCAGGCTCACATAAGCATAAATAAAAATCCAATGTAACAGAAAATACATTTTATTTACAAAAGCAAAATAATTATGGCACTTTAAATTAACATTTTAAATAGTTATTCAACACACTTTGAACACTTTGTTCAGTGATTAGTAAAATTGGCAATCACTAACAACTATAATTATTTAGTTGTTCGGAATTATGGCCTGGTTAAGTTAGTACATTTAGACGTGTTGCTGTGTAACGGGTATTAACAAGCTACGGTTACAGACGATTGCTACTGATGATCTTATGGCTAACTAACATATTTGTATTGACTTTGGTAAAAAGAGAACAAGATGAAACTTGCTTACTTTGGTAATAAGGAGTACAAGATATAGATGATTTATTTTGGTAAAAAGTAACAGATAAAAACAATTTCGTTTGGTAAAAAGTGATCAGATAAAAATGATTTGCTTTGGTAAAAAGAGGAAAGTTGTTTAATTTGGTAAAAAGGAGTACAAAATGAAAATGATTTACTTTTGTAAAAAATACCAGATGAAAAAGATTTCGTTTGGTAAAAAGTGAACAGATGAAAATGATTTGCTTTGGTAAAAAGAGAAAAGTTGTTTACTTTGGTAAAAAGGAGTACAAAATGAAAATGATTTACTTGTGTAAAAAATACCAGATGAAAAAGATTTCGTTTGGCAAAAAGTGAACAGATTAAAGTGATTTGCTTTGGTAAAAAGTGGGAAGTTGTTTACTTTGGTAAAACGGAGTACAAGATAAAGATGATTTACTTTGGTAAAAAGTAACAGATGAAAACTATTTCTTGTTAAAAAGTGACCACAAGAAAATACCAGAAATACTTTGTAAAAACTTATTACCAACAATGCATCATTATTGCCAGCAATACATTTTTTGAAAACATAAATATTACTAGCAATACATTTTTGAAGAAAAATATTACCAGAAATAGATTTTTGAAGGAAAAAATAAATGATTTGCTTTGGTAGAAAGAAGACAAGAGGAAAAGTTATTTACGTTGGTAAAAAGTGTATAAAAATAAAATTATTTAAAAAATCCTGAATTTATTCTATTGAAATGATATCTGTTTTAAATGAAACTATAGCGTATTTTTTTATTTTATTTCTTTTCCGACTAATTGAAATCATTATGAGAAATTTAGGAAATTTATTCAGAGGAAAAACTAATATTTATGTTTGTGTGTGATATTTGAAATATGAGAAGCGATAATTGCCAACGCAAGGTTATTTAGTTTTTATAATGGACACATTACACAGGAGAACACACTGCGTCCTAAAATCGCACACACATTTGTCTTTTACGCATAGGGGCACACACACACACACACACACACACACACAAATGCACGCAGTCACCCTCCCCACACAAGCACGCACACATATATATCGTGCGAGGCAGAGAAAGCAAGAGAGAAAAAGAGGCGCAAATACAGACAATTATATCGGCATATAAACTCGCTTAAGTATAAGCACGCGCATGCACACACACGCACATACATATGCGCACACATATGCGCACATGTATATATCGAGAGAGAGAGAGAGAGAGAGAGAGAGAGAGAGAGAGAGAGAGAGCAAGAAAGCGGGACAAAAGAGAAACGCAAATACGGCCAAATACATCCGCATAAAATAACTTCAGAATAAGGGCCCGCACACGCAAACACACACACATAAACACAGACACACACACACACACATAAACACAGACACACACACACACACACACACACACACACATAAACACAGACACACACACACATAAACGCAGACACACACACACACATAACACAGACACACACATAAACGCAGACACACACACGCACACAAACACAGACACACACACGCACACACACGCACACACACATAAACACAGACACACGCACACATACATAAACACAGACACATACACACACACACATAAACACAGACACACACATACATACATAAACACAGACACACACACACATAAACACAGACGCACACACACATAGACGCAGGCACACACACACATAAACACAGACACACACACATATATGATAAATTAAGAAAACAATTTAAAAAACCTTTCGTTTATAATTTATTTCATGAATATTTTTATATGCATCTCATCAGAACGAAGGTTTTAAAAAATGGAATCAATCTCTTTCTCTCTCTTTCTGTCCCCCTCTCTCTCTCTTTCTCTCTCTCTCTATCTATCTATCTATCTATCTATCTATCTATGTATATATATATATATATATATATATATATATATATATATATATACTACAGGTAGAGGGAGAATGAAAGTTAATACGAGCCCGCCCTGAAATAAATGATTCACACACACACACGCACACACATATATATCAATACAAGCTGAGGAAGAACTCGAGTTTAACTGTGCCTACTTTAAAACAAATGCTTCGCGCATATGCACACGCACACATACACACGCACACACACACACACACATAAATGATATTTGATAAACAATCGAAAAATACTACTTCGTCTTTGCCGATGCGTTTCGTCATGTGACTTTATCAAGGCAAGCGATGATAAACAAAAGCGAAATGTTGTGTAGTTACATGAAATTTAAACATTTTCAAAACACGGCAAAGATTAAGTACTATTTTCCGATTCAATTTATCTTCTCTATAGATTTATTCTGAGGACTTTAACACACACACGCACGCTCACGCATCTCTCTCTCTCTCTCTAAGAGAGAGAGAGAGGAAAAGAGAGAGCGAGAGCGAGGAAGAATGAGAGTTAATAATTGCATATGAGCCCGCCTTAAAATAAATGCTTGACACACACACAAACATACACACAAACACACACACAGATAGATAGATAGTTAGATAGGGAGAAAGGAGGGAAAAGATGGAAATACGCCCCCAGATAGACTTTTGTACTAAACCCAAGCGTGAATAAAAGGTTCATATATACATACACGCATAGAGGGAAAGTGATAGGGCCAGAAGGTCAAAGAGAGAGGTGGGGAGAGTTAAATACATTCTCAAATACATCGTTATGAACCCGCCCAAGAATAAAAGATCTACACACGCCCGCGTAGAGAAAAAGAAAGAAAAAGACAGTGTAAGAGAAATAGATAGATAGATAGATAGATAGAGAGAGAGAGAGAGAGAGAGAGAGATAAAGAAAAAGGGAAAGAAAGAGAGAGGGGGGAAAGAAAGCGATGTGGCTACATCCTCGTATAGACTCACTTCAGAATAAAAAACTCACTAGAGAGAGAGAGAACAATTTCTCGCATAATCGCACCCAGAATAAAGCTCATTATTCCACACGAGAGAGAGAGAGAGAGAGAGAGAGAGAGAGTGAAAGGGGAAAGGAGATAATGAAAGAGGGGGCGAGAGAAGGGGGAGAGAGGGAAAGAGAAAGATATAGAGAAAGAGAACGAGACAGGTGGGACACGGACAAACACACCCTTGTATAAACCAACCCGATAAACCCATTTCGGGTGAATCGCGTCCAATAATCGAATGTGTGGTTAGCTGAAAAACCTTCTCACAGACCAGCTGGTTATCTATACTCCCAAGACGGCTAGAGACGCCCAGAGAGGCAGCCATTGGTTAAAATGAATTAAGATACATAGAACCTTTTCATGCAGAAAACTTCGGGACTGGATGACCCTAAAAAGAAGCTCCTTCCAACCGTAATATTGACTGTCGAAATTTACACAGATTTCCCCCGCATTGAAATGACGGAAAAAGGCATGTGTGCAAAGGGTTTCGTATAAGAGGAGAATAATAGTCGTCGAGGTTTGCGGCCATATCACGTTGAAACATGGGTTCTCGTTCGAAAAAGCAATTATGCTGAGCAGACCTTAGTTACAGTTTCTGGGAGAGAGCGCATAATTTAGCATGATCAATTTTGGGAAGAAGGCCAATACGCCAGAAACGTCTGTTATTTACGTGCGAACAGAAACATCGACGGCTTTTGAACAGTTCTCTCTACCCAATTTAACTCATGTCGAAACACTGGTTACCGTAGAATCAATGGAGTTAAGACACGTCGAGCCTGGTCAGTACCTAGATGGGTGACCGCTTAGAAATACCAGGTGCTGTAAGCTTGGATGTGCGGGTGGTGTAATGGATGATGGCTGGGAATTGTTAATCGGAGAGCCGAGTTCCAATTCCAGTTGGGTTCGTTATATTCATTTACGCGCGAATACCTTTGGGAAAGGTATGGATCCACCTCTTCTCACCAGCTATGGGATATCTGTCTATATCTCTGAGATGAGGTATTATGATTACTTGCATTATTTACATTTATCGGACTGTTATCCTCATCTTCATTGGCATTGTCACAACGTTTCGGCCGTTGTACGCTACGGCCTCCTTCAGGTGATTAGAATTTCGAACTGAACCCTTTAAATGTAAATAATGCAAGCTATGGGTTAATTATTAACCCTTGTATCACTAAATCATTATTATCCCCGACACAAAAAAATCTTACAATCTAAAAATATTGCCTGCCTTTAAATAACCTGCAAAGGGTTGATAAGCCGTAGAAAGTGAGTCAATCTATGAACACTATTCCTTTTGATGATCCACAGTATGTTTTTTTAAGGTACAGTGTAACCCGAATACAAGAGAGTTGTCGGGACCGGAGAAGAAGTCTCTTATATCCGGGTTTCTCTTATATCCGGGTTTCTCTTATATCCGGGTTTGGTCTTTTTTATATACATTAACACAGGCTCTAATTTGGGACCAGAGAAAATCTCTCTTATATCCGGTTTTCTCTTATATCCGGGTCTCTTATATCCGGGTTACACTGTACTTTCAATCCAGTTACATCAGTTAGTTCATGGGTCTAATGCTCAGAAAACGAACATGCTAATCCCCCCCACCCTGGCCACACGCCTGATAATGCTAGTGCCGATGGTAATATCAACCGTTTCTTTATATGGAGACATTCGGCATTTATTAACCGAACGGCATGTCCTACTACCGGTTAAAATTTTATAAAATCTTTTTCTTACAACAATTTTCGGGAAAATAGGTTTCTCAAGTCCACTAAATGTTATAGCTCTTCCCAGGAACCTTGATGGGGGTTTCCTTCCTAACCTTTTATTTGAAGTCATGTGGAACGTCAACATCTGGATTACGTTATTATTTTCTCTTTAACTTTGCTTTACATGTGCTATCCATTTTAGTTGTTGCCGTTATTTAAATTCCTCTAGTGGTGTGGTCTCTTTTATTTGGAGCAGTTCTTTGTGGTTCTGTAGCGTGGTTCGAAGAACGATAGGTCCTCACTAAGACCTACAGGATTCATTTGCTTGAAGTCATTTTTAAACATCGATCCGAGAAAGCGATTGTATACAGTTTCTGAAGGAATGAGACGCAATGCATGGTATCCATATGAAAGTTTTGATTTGATGAAGCTATTTAAGTATATGACTGTTTTGGTTAATATTTTGGGTTTTGTAGCATCATGCCGGGTTGGACAAAACTGACCCTAATGCAATCTATTCTATATTCAATTTCCTTTTCTTCTATTCTATTTTTATTAAAAATAAATGAGCGTCATGGGTATGACGACAACATTCGCGTCCTGGGTAAGACGATAAACTACATTCGGCAGCAAGGCCTCTGATCAGGAGATTTTGAGGAGCGTGGAACCACCTCTTAATTGCTGGTGTTCCCAGGTCCACCCTGACCTGGGGTGGTATCATCTATTGGGGTCCCAGCTATGGGCAAATAGTTAACCCTGGGGTCAAAACACTATGAAGGTGTAAAAATAGGTTTTGATACGAGAAATACTTTGTAAAAAATGATTACCAACAATGCATCATTATTGCCAGCAATACATTTTTTTGAAAACATAAATATTACTAGCAATACATTTTTGAAGAAAAATATTACCAGAAATAGATTTTTGAAGGAAAATATATTACCAACAATAAAAATATTGTCGGCATTAAATAACCCATTGAGGTTGATATTTAAAACAAACCAAACCGAACCAAAATAAATGATCCATACACCGAGGTTTGTTAAATGTTTAGTATTTATTCATTCTACCATGATAGGTAACCAGTCCAGTAAGTTATTTACTTTTTCGAATCCTCGACAACAACCAGAGTCGAAATTACTTTGGAAATATTCACATCGCTAGAGTAACCCCACTTTTACAGTAGCAACCTCTGTAAGAGTGGCTAGCCGCAAAGTTTCAGTTCCTTCAGTGAATGCTAGACAATTTCCTCACAGATGAAGAAGAAACGTGCGGCAATAGAAATGTGGTTCTACAGAAGGATGCTGAGAATACCATGGACAGAACATGTGATCATCGAGGAAGTTTTAAGGAAAAAAGGACACTGATACTTAGACTCAGAGAGAGGACAACTGAAATTTCTAGGGCACATAATGAGAAAAGAAGGGTTAGAAAATTTGACACTCACAGGATGTATTGACGGCAAAAGGAAAGGAAACGAGTAACCTGCCTAACGAACTTGTGTAAATGGTTGGCAGAATAAGGAATGAAAGGTATACTAAAAAGACAAAAATCGAACTAAAAAAGATAGGAAGTTGTGAAGAGCCATGATCGCCTACGGCATGAAGGGAAATTGGAATTTTGTATTTTCTCTTTGTGATGTGAATTACAGAATATTGGGATGGTCTGTGTAAAATGTTCTCAGTGTCTCTTTTGTTTAAAAGTCAGTGCTTACTTGGTTTAGTTCTGAGAATTTTGTTTGTGAGGATGCGTTTGACATGGTTTGGTTCCGAGAATATCGTTTGTGAGGATGGCGTTTCACATCGTCTTCCGGAGTGCTGAAAAACGTGTGTTTCTACTGACTATTACTACTACTTGTTTATTAGTTTACTGACAAGGTAGCCTAGTCTACGCTACTGTTCTTTACTCTAATCGACTAACTCTCTTGTGGTTCAAGGGTCGTTTTTACAATAATGAGGGTAGGATGATGTAATATCCTTATTTTTTATCATCACTGATAACAGTGTTATTTTTAGAATGATGAAATATCATCATCATTCTAGACAATAACAACTGTTTGCAAAACATTCTAAAGGTGTTTATTGTGAAAGTCATTAATTGCCTTTCAATAAAAAAAATGATTTTATTTTGAAATTATGCATTATTTTGCTTTTTTTATTATTATAGATTAAATAATATTTTTTCTTTGAATGATTTTCAAATTTTCGTTGATGTCTAGGCTCAACGAAATCCGGAAAAAATAACGGAACTGTATGGGACTTAGAGAATGATTATGAAAGATTTATCTCCCTTTGTTGCAATACGCCATTAGATAGATATTATCGGTCTAGTAAACAAATAAATCCAATCTGATCCAATTTTGTCTGTTTTGAGTCCTGGAAACAAAGAGATTGAGTTATAAACTGAAGCATAAGAAGCAGCAGACATTTTGAGGATTAAAAGAAAACTTGCGTCTTATGCACGCAGGATTACGGTGCTTCTTTTTTGTCGCAAAATCATTTTAGGTACACTGCGAGGAGCTCAATCGATAAAATTTCAGTAATTTTTTTTTACAACACTTTCTTTACACTCTGATTACAGAACGTACACATCTAGACCACTATAGTACATAGGTGAGTCTAAAATAATGCATTTTTTATTATATAAGAGATAAGGAGCACAATCAAACATATCGTACATGAAGATCTAGCTAGACATCATCGGTTCACATCCCTAATTCTGAACATAGCCAACACAACTTTTAATTGCCGTGTTCCATCTACGAATGTGTTTTCATTTATTCATCACCACCATAACTTTTGCCGCTCAGTGCCTCTTTCATTGGACCAAAGAGATGGAAATCTGAAAATGCTATGTCGTGAAATTTCTTATATCAGTTATGTGCCATGCGTGATACATGCTTAGGCGATCATGTAACTTTTGAGACATGACTGAGGCGGTAGATTTTTTTCCGCAATAGGTTGCTATTTCTTTCTGCAGTAGACCAGTTTCCATTTAAGGCTATAGAACTGTGCTGCTATTTACCCATAGCTGGGGCAAGAAGAAGAGGATTCACATCTTTCCCAAGGGCACGTAAGTCATGGATTCGACTGGAATTCGAATCGCTCTCCGATTCCTCAATCCGAGCCGTTATCCATTATTCCACCGTATATTTTTATTATATAATGAAACAAACCGCCTTACTTTTTAACTCACCATCGTATTACATGAAACAATATTATTGAAAAGGAAATTTACTATTTCATAAATTCAAAAGTGTTTGAAGTTATCTTTTCTTTTTTTTATCCGTTGTATATATTTGCCATTTACTTTTGTCTCCTAGAACGGCGTGAAGACAATTAATGCTTTTACACTTGATAAAAATGAAATAGAAGGGGAAAAAATAAACATTTATTATAAGTATTTTATTCTAGTGCTTTATGTGTGCCGAAGTAGACCCTGTATATCCTATCACTGACTAAATCCACATGGTCCCCAAAACCTATCTGGAATGATTTACAACTTGTAGGAAACGCCTGCCATTTCAACATGGGCGATTTATGTGTGCAGTCCCTTCCTTGGCACGCTTCAACAGAAGTGACAGGGAAGCAAAGATTTTCCATTATCGTTAAAC